CAAACTTAAGTGTTTTGTTTTTGGGTGGCTGGGGGCTTTTGATAAGCAATAAATCCAGACATTTGATCATTGACTATTTGAAGAATTAATGCATATTTAATAACGTTCGAAAACTTCTACGAAAAGTTAAAGAATTGTAATAAAATGGGAAAAGGAAAACTAAAACCGTAACACTAAAACATACTTTTTTGCTGCAAATAGTTTTCAACTAGACATTAAACAAAAAACAAAAACCAAAAACAAGTATAGATTGTGCAAAAAACTCCCTAACATAGATGAGTAAGAAAGGAAAGAAAAGTTGGCAAAAGAAAAAAGGCAAAACTAAATATAAATTATTTACCAGAGATGTTGGTGTTTGATTACAATAAACATGAGGTTGGAAAACAGGGTGAGGATTTTATTAAAAGCTTTGAAATTTTGCTAATATGTACTTACACAAAATTCCTTGAGGTAAAATTTTATTGAATTTTTCAATATTAAATCCAATTGCAGTGGCTTTGGCATTAAGTGAATTATACGTAAGGGAGATTGTTCATATTTCTTTGTTTTTATCTTAAACATTTGAGGGAAAAATATTAATCTACTTATAATTCAATTCAATTATCCTGTAAACAAATTGCCAATTGTAGAAATCGGGGGTGAAATTCTGCAAACATTATAAGCTGTCTATAGTCTAGTTTATAGTCTAGTTTATGGTGTAGTCTATAGTCCAGTCTATAGTCTAGTCTATAGTCTTATCTATATTCTAGTCTATAGTGTAGTATATAGTCTGGTCTATTGTCTAGTCTATATTCTAGTCTATAGTCTAGTCTATAGTTTGGTCTCTAGTCTATAGTGTAGTATATAGTCCAATCTATTGTCTAGTCTATATTCCAGTCTATAGTCTACTATATATTCTATAGTCTAGTTCATAGTTTAGTCTACAGTCTAGGTCTATTGTCCAGTTTATAGTCTAGTCTATAGTCTAGTATAAGTCCAGTATATTGTCTAGTCTATAGTCTAATCTGTATTCTAGTATAATCTATAGTTTAGTCTATGTCTAGTCTATAGTCTAGTCTAGTCTAGTCTAGTCTATAGTCTAGTCTATAGTCTGTTCTATAGTCTAGTCTATAGTCTAGTCTATAGTCTAGTCTATAGTCTAGTCTATAGTCTAGTCTATAGTCTAGTCTATTAGTCTAGTCTATAGTCTAGTCTATAGTCTAGTCTATAGTCTAGTCTATAGTCTAGTCTATAGTCTAGTCTATAGTCTAGTCTATAGTCTAGTCTATAGTCTAGTCTATAGTCTAGTCTATAGTCTAGTCTATAGTTTGGTCTCTAGTCTATAGTGTAGTATATAGGTCCAATCTATTGTCTAGTCTATATTCCAGGTCTATAGTCTACTATATATTCTATAGTCTAGTTTATAGTTTAGTCTACAGTCTAGTCTATTGTCCAGTTTATAGTCTAGTCTATAGTCTAGTCTATAGTCTAGTCTATAAGTCTAGTCTATAGTCTAGTCTATAGTCTAGTCTATAGTCTAGTCTATAGTCTAGTCTATATTCTAGTCTATAGTCTAGTCTATAGTTTGGTCTCTAGTCTATAGTGTAGTATATAGTCCAATCTATTGTCTAGTCTATATTCCAGTCTATAGTCTACTATATATTCTATAGTCTAGTTTATAGTTTAGTCTACAGTCTAGTCTATTGTCCAGTTTATAGTCTAGTCTATAGTCTAGTATATAGCCCAGTATATTGTCTAGTCTAGTCTAATCTGTATTCTAGTCTAGTCTATAGTCTAGTCTATAGTCTAGTCTATAGTCTAGTCTATAGTCTAGTCTATAGTCTAGTCTATAGTCTAGTCTATAGTCTAGTCTATAGTCTAGTCTATAGTCTAGTCTATAGTCTAGTCTATAGTCTAGTCTATAGTCTAGTCTATAGTCTAGTCTATAGTCTAGTCTATAGTCTAGTCTATAGTCTAGTCTATAGTCTAGTCTATAGTCTAGTCTATAGTCTAGTCTATAGTCTAGTCTATAGTCTAGTATAGTCTAGTCTATAGTCTAGTCTATAGTCTAGTCTATAGTAGTCTATAGTCTAGTCTATAGTCTAGTCTATAGTCTAGTCTATAGTCTAGTCTATAGTCTAGTCTATAGTCTAGTCTATAGTCTAGTCTATAGTCTAGTCTATAGTCTAGTCTATAGTCTAGTCTATAGTCTAGTCTATAGTCTAGTCTATAGTCTAGTCTATAGTCTAGTCTATAGTAGTCTATTAGTCTAGTCTATAGTCTAGTCTATAGTCTAGTCTATAGTCTAGTCTATAGTCTAGTCTAGTCTAGTCTATAGTCTAGTCTATAGTCTAGTCTATAGTCTAGTCTATAGTCTAGTCTATAGTCTAGTCTATAGTCTAGTCTATAGTCTAGTCTATAGTCTAGTCATAGTCTAGTCTATAGTCTAGTCTATAGTCTAGTCTATAGTCTAGTCTATAGTCTAGTCTATAGTCTAGTCTATAGTCTAGTTATAGTCTCGTCTATAGTCTAGTCTATAGTCTAGTCTATAGTCTAGTCTATAGTCTCGTCTATAGTCTAGTCTATAGTCCAGTCTATAGTCTCGTCTATAGTCTAGTCTATAGTCTCGTCTATAGTCTAGTCTATAGTCTAGTCTATAGTCTAGTCTATAGTCTAGTCTATAGTCTAGTCTATAGTCTAGTCTATAGTCTAGTCTATAGTCTAGTCTATAGTCTAGTCTATAGTCTAGTCTATAGTCTAGTCTATAGTCTAGTCTATAGTCTAGTCTATAGTAGTCTATAGTCTAGTCTATAGTCTAGTCATAGTCTAGTCTATAGTCTAGTCTATAGTCTAGTCTATAGTCTAGTCATAGTCTAGTCTATAGTCTAGTCTATAGTCTATTCTATAGTCTAGTCTATAGTCTAGTCTATAGTCTAGTCTATAGTCTAGTCTATAGTCTAGTCTATAGTCTAGTCTATAGTCTAGTCTATAGTCTAGTCTATAGTCTAGTCTATAGTCTAGTCTATAGTCTAGTCTATAGTCTAGTCTATAGTCTAGTCTATAGTCTAGTCTATAGTCTAGTCTATAGTCTAGTCTATAGTCTAGTCTATAGTAGTCTTAGTTAGTCTATAGTCTAGTCTATAGTCTAGTCTATAGTCTAGTCTATAGTCTAGTCTATAGTCTAGTCTATAGTCTAGTCTATAGTCTAGTCTATAGTCTAGTCTATAGTCTAGTCTATAGTCTAGTCTATAGTCTAGTCTATAGTCTAGTCTATAGTCTAGTCTATAGTCTAGTCTATAGTCTAGTCTATAGTCTAGTCTATAGTCTAGTCTATAGTCTAGTCTATAGTCTAGTCTATAGTCTGGTCTATAGTCTAGTCTATAGTCTAGTCTATACTCTAGTCTATAGTCTAGTCTATAGTCTAGTCCATAGTCTAGTCTATAGTCTAGTCTATAGTCTAGTCTATAGTCTAGTCTATAGTCTAGTCTATAGTATAGTCTATAGTCTAGTCTATAGTATAGTCTATAGTCTAGTCTATAGTCTAGTCTATAGTCTAGTCTATAGTCTGGTCTATAGTCTAGTCTATAGTCTAGTCTATAGTCTAGTCTATATTCTAGTCTATAGTCTAGTCTAGTCTGTAGTCTAGTCTATAGTCTAGTCTATAGTCTAGTCTATAGTCTAGTCTATAGTCTAGTCTATAGTCTAGTCTATAGTCTAGTCTATAGTCTATTCTATAGTCTAGTCTATAGTCTAGTCTATAGACTAGTCTATAAAACTAGTCTATAGTCTAGTCTATAAACTAGTCTATAGATTAGTCTATATTCTAGTTTACAACCTAGTCTATACAAATGCAAAAAAAATTAAAAAAAATAAAATTGTATATATCTTTTAGAATCATTTGATCTTCCAAAAATAGTTTAATATTAATCATACGTCAAGTGTAAAAAATATTTTTTTAAAGAATTTTTAGGGAAATTAAAAATGTTCTTGGATGATTTTTATTTACCAACTGCATGAGATGACGCTGTAACCCAATTATCAACAATATCGATTTTATGCCTTTTACTTCTGGTAAAAATTAATAAAAACTATAGTAATATTTAACATAAGGTAATACTATATTGTTTAAACTTGAAAAAATAATAAAAATTCTGTGAAAAAACTTTGTAATTATATGCCACAATAAACATATTTTCGTTTAAAGTTAAAATTAATTATAGTTGGAAAAAAGTTAAAATATTACGGTCAAGGTTTTTTAATTAAACAATCAACTTAACAAAAACAAAGTTTATTAAATATTTTAAATTAATTTTAACAATTTCATAATAATTTTTGTTGACACAATATTTCTGTTTTAAACACCCTGTTTTGCTATTTTAACAGAATATAGAAAACAGAAAAAATGAAATAAAAAGTTGGTCAATTTAAGTCATCATTTTGTGTGGCTGGGTGTAAGGAAGACGAGGAAGACATTAATCAAGACTCATTAGAGTGGAAAAAATAAAACACCAACACGAAGAACACAATAGAAATTTCATACTAAGCAAAAATGGAAAGGAAAATGAAATAAAATACAACAACTAAAATATTATTCTTAAAATGTATATAAATATATATGTATATAAATTAAACAGTGGTCAGCGGCAATAAAAAGAACAATTTATTTGGAATAAGGTTGTATTTCTAAAATTTCTTTGTTCCTTAAAAGTTTTCTAATAATTTTATAATAGATTTCACTATTTCATTGCCCCACTGTACATTTTCAGAAACCTACACTTTCATTTAATGAAAAAGGAAAAACAGAAACATTAGTCGAACACTTTCTTTTATTAGAAATTTGTTATGTTTTGAGAAAGTTTCATTTTTCTTGCATTTCTTTTTATCTGTGATATTAGATATTTTTTAACAAATTTATGCTTTTGTTTTTATTTACAAAATAAAATTTAAATTACTCAAATTTATTTGAAATTAAATTTTATTACAATTTTTATTTAACAATTATAAATTTCTTTTCGTTTTAGGTAAGTTTTTCAACATTTGGCAGAAATTGTTGGTAATTATTTAATATTTTAAATGATTAATTATATTAAAGCTCAATATTTTAGGTTTGCGGTTGTTGAAATTGTTTAAAAAATCTGAATTTTAAACTATTTTCTTAATAAATTCTGATTAATATTAATCATACGCCTGGGTGTCAACGAAAACATACAACAATTTTTAAGCCACAGTTGTATAAAAGTCTATAGTCTAGTCTATAGTCTAGTCTATAGTCTAGTCTATAGTCTAGTCTATAGTCTAGTCTATAGTCTAGTCTATAGTCTAGTCTATAGTCTAGTCTATAGTCTAGTCTATAGTAGTCTCTAGTAGTCTATAGTCTAGTCTATAGTCTAGTCTATAGTCTAATCTATAGTCTAGTCTATAGTCTAGTCTATAGTCTAGTCTATAGTCTAGTCTATAGTCTAGTCTATAGTCTAGTCTATAGTCTAGTCTATAGTCTAGTCTATAGTCTAGTCTATAGTCTAGTCTATAGTCTAGTCTATAGTCTAGTCTATAGTCTAGTCTATAGTCTAGTCTATAGTCTAGTCTATAGTCTAGTCTATAGTCTAGTCTATAGTCTAGTCTATAGTCTAGTCTAGTCTATAGTCTAGTCTATAGTCTAGTCTATAGTCTAGTCTATAGTCTAGTCTAGTCTATAGTCTAGTCTATAGTCTAGTCTATAGTCTAGTCTATAGTCTAGTCTATAGTCTAGTCTATAGTCTAGTCTATAGTCTAGTCTATAGTCTAGTCTATAGTCTAGTCTATAGTCTAGTCTATAGTCTAGTCTATAGTCTAGTCTATAGTCTAGTCTATAGTCTAGTCTATAGTCTAGTCTATAGTCTAGTCTATAGTCTAGTCTATAGTCTAGTCTATAGTCTAGTCTATAGTCTAGTCTATAGTCTAGTCTATAGTCTAGTCTATAGTCTAGTCTATAGTCTAGTCTATAGTCTAGTCTATAGTCTAGTCTATAGTCTAGTCTATAGTCTAGTCTATAGTCTAGTCTATAGTCTAGTCTATAGTCTAGTCTAGTCTAGTCTATAGTCTAGTCTATAGTCTAGTCTATAGTCTAGTCTATAGTCTAGTCTATAGTCTAGTCTATAGTCTAGTCTATAGTCTAGTCTATAGTCTAGTCTATAGTCTAGTCTATAGTCTAGTCTATAGTCTAGTCTATAGTCTAGTCTATAGTCTAGTCTATAGTCTAGTCTATAGTCTAGTCTATAGTCTAGTCTATAGTCTAGTCTATAGTCTAGTCTATAGTCTAGTCTATAGTCTAGTCTATAGTCTAGTCTATAGTCTAGTCTATAGTCTAGTCTATAGTCTAGTCTATAGTCTAGTCTAGTATAGTCTATAGTCTAGTCTATAGTCTAGTCTATAGTCTAGTCTATAGTAGTCTATAGTCTAGTCTATAGTCTAGTCTATAGTCTAGTCTATAGTCTAGTCTATAGTCTAGTCTATAGTCTAGTCTATAGTCTAGTCTATAGTCTAGTCTATAGTCTAGTCTATAGTCTAGTCTATAGTCTAGTCTATAGTCTAGTCTATAGTCTAGTCTATAGTCTAGTCTATAGTCTAATCTATAGTCTACTCTATAGTCTAGTCTATAGTCTAGTCTATAGTCTAGTCTATAGTCTAGTCTATAGTCTAGTCTATAGTCTAGTCTATAGTCTAGTCTATAGTCTAGTCTATAGTCTAGTCTATAGTCTAGTCTATAGTCTAGTCTATAGTCTAGTCTATAGTCTAGTCTGCAGCCTGTATTTCAGTTCATTTAAATTTGAATGATAAATCCAAATAGTTTAAAGCGCCTTGCTTTGAAGTAAAATTTTATAAGCTTAAATTAAAATAAAGTAAACTAAAATATTTAAAAAATCAATTTTTTTGTATTGTTAAATAAAAACTCCTTATTGTATTGTGGAATTCATTTAAAAGAAAGTTCTGTTATAAAAACCATCACTTAACACAGTTTTTCATATATAGAAAAAAGTGTTTTATTTAATTTTATTTATTTTAGGTACACATCATACACATAAGTTTTCTTTTTGAAAATACCCATTCATTGCCTTTTTGAACAATACCTAGAAAAAATATAAAAATGCAAAACACGTCTTAATAGACTTAGTGCCAGATCTTCATAAATATTAATAACTAAAATATTTATACTCAAAATACAAATATGTATGTATTTGCCTCTAGCCTAAACGACATATGTGTATGTCTACTATTTAAAATATTTCGCAGGAATTTATTTTTAATAAATACTTGCTCGTATGAATAAAAAACAACATATAAGAAATAATAATATTAAATAAACACCTAAGACTATTGTTTATTATTTACAATACTGTTGTTATTTCTGTTGTATTGCACAAGTATTTGTGTTAAACATTTCCGTATAACACGCACACACTATGTATATTGAAACCCATAAAACCAACCGCAGGCAGACAGACAGTTACCGAACACCTGCACATGTATTATAAAGTAATATACATTTGTACATGTTCAAAAAAAAAAAAAAAATTATTTAAACAGATTTTTATTAAAAACACATACACACATACAGCAAAATAACATAAACATTCTTTTTATTTGAATACTATTCTCTACACATGCACGTAGAGTATTTACATAGATGTTTGGAAGTGTGAAACAATTTTTGTTATGTTGTCCAACCAGCAGCATGTTTCTAGAACGTATAAGTAATAGTGTGACACAGAATTATGAAGAGAATTTATATATTAATAGAGACTAGTTCCAATGAGTAAAAGATCTTTGAAAATATCTTAAAAAATACTGAAGTTATTAAAATGTATTTTTGAAACCTATGAATTAATATTAATCATACGGCAGAGGGTAAGACAATTTAAAAAGTTTTAAAAGTGATTTTAAGCAAACTTAAACATTTTCGAAAATATAATTTCCACCTATAAAGTTTGAAATAGTTCTCTGCAAGGTTTCATGTAAATTAGGTATAGATTTAAAAAATTCGTCTAAGTTTTCCCCATGACTACTGAATTACTCATAGCCCTACAAAATTACATCCCATATTGTAGAAAATAATAATTTAGTCTTTAATCTAAAAGAAAATTGTATATGAAACAACAATTTTTTAAAAAATATAAAATTAAATTTCTTACACATTTTGTAACATTTAGGTTAAAATTTTATGGGAATTTCTATATTTTGTTATTCTTTACCCAAAGATTTGCATACATATTTTAATAATTTCTTAAGTTATATTTAAGCAATTTCCCTAGACAACATTTCATTTAATATTAATCATACGCCTGAGGTGATATTTAAAAGCATCTGCGAAAATAATATGTGAAGTTTTAATTTTAGATAATAGAAAAATACTGATTTTAAATATAAATTCCTTCTTAAGCAACATTTTATTAAGAATACATATTAATTATTTTCTGCAGTTCAAGTTCAGTTGTAGTTAAGTTGTAGTTTAGTTCTAGTTCAGTTCTAGTTCAGCTCTAGTTCAGTTCTAGTTCAGTTCTAGTTCAGTTCTAGTTCAGTTCTAGTTCAGTCTAGTTCAGTTCTAGTTCAGTTCTAGTTCAGTTCTAGTTCAGTTCTAGTTCAGTTCTAGTTCAGTTCTAGTTCAGTTCTAGTTCAGTTCTAGTTCAGTTCTAGTTCAGTTCTAGTTCAGTTCTAGTTCAGTTCTAGTTCAGTTCTAGTTCAGTTCTAGTTCAGTTCTAGTTCAGTTCTAGTTCAGTTCTAGTTCAGTTCTAGTTCAGTTCTAGTTCAGTTCTAGTTCAGTTCTAGTTCAGTTCTAGTTCAGTTCTAGTTCAGTCTTGTTCGGTTCTAGTTCAGTTCTAGTTCAGTTCTAGTTTAGTTTAGTTCAGTCTAGTTCAGTTCTAGTTCAGTTCTAGTTCAGTTCTAGTTCAGTTCTAGTTCAGTTCTAGTTCAGTTCTAGTTCAGTTCTAGTTCAGTTCTAGTTCAGTTCTAGTTCAGTTCTAGTTCAGTTCTAGTTCAGTTCTAGTTCAGTTCTAGTTCAGTTCTAGTTCAGTTCTAGTTCAGTTCTAGTTCAGTTCTAGTTCAGTTCTAGTTCAGTTCTAGTTCAGTTCTAGTTCAGTTCTAGTTCAGTTCTAGTTCAGTTCTAGTTCAGTTCTAGTTCAGTTCTAGTTCAGTTCTAGTTCAGTTCTAGTTCAGTTCTAGTTCAGTTCTAGTTCAGTTCTAGTTCAGTTCTAGTTCAGTTCTAGTTCAGTTCTAGTTCAGTTCTAGTTCTAGTTCAGTTCTAGTTCAGTTCTAGTTTCTAGTTCAGTTCTAGTTCAGTTCTAGTTCAGTTCTAGTTCAGTTCTAGTTCAGTTCTAGTTCAGTTCTAGTTCAGTTCTAGTTCAGTTCTAGTTCAGTTCTAGTTCAGTTCTAGTTCAGTTCTAGTTCAGTTCTAGTTCAGTTCTAGTTCAGTTTCTAGTTCAGTTCTAGTTCAGTTCTAGTCAGTTCTAGTTCAGTTCTAGTTCAGTTCTAGTTCAGTTCTAGTTCAGTTCTAGTTCAGTTCTAGTTCAGTTCTAGTTCAGTTCTAGTTCAGTTCTAGTTCAGTTCTAGTTCAGTTCTAGTTCAGTTCTAGTTCAGTTCTAGTTCAGTTCTAGTTCAGTTCTAGTTCAGTTCTAGTTCAGTTCTAGTTCAGTTCTAGTTCAGTTCTAGTTCAGTTCTAGTTCAGTTCTAGTTTGTTCTAGTTCAGTTCTAGTTCAGTTCTAGTTCAGTTCTAGTTCAGTTCTAGTTCAGTTCTAGTTCAGTTCTAGTTCAGTTCTAGTTCAGTTCTAGTTCAGTTCTAGTTCAGTCTGTTCGGTTCTAGTAGTTCTAGTTTAGTTCTAGTTCAGTTCTAGTTCAGTTCTAGTTCAGTTCTAGTTCAGTTCTAGTTCAGTTCTAGTTCAGTTCTAGTTCAGTTCTAGTTCAGTTCTAGTTCATTCTAGTTCAGTTCTAGTTCAGTTCTAGTTCAGTTCTAGTTCAGTTCTAGTTCAGTTTCTAGTTCAGTTCTAGTTCAGTTCTAGTTCAGTTCTAGTTCAGTTCTAGTTCAGTTCTAGTTCAGTTCTAGTTCAGTTCTAGTTCAGTTCT